ATCTAGCATAAAATACTTATCATAAGTAGATCAGTGTATCTTTCATGACATCAGTGATCACCGTGCCAGTAATCCAAAATTTGTTTGCAAGTAACGCATTCGAGTTCATGATGTATATTTCAACAATTACCTCTTCAGAGTACCCACGGTGCTGGTTGAGCAGGTGTCGTTTTTCGCCGAGCAGCCTGGCTACCTTCGCCACGCTATTTCCAGGAGTACTCGATAGCCCCTTTTATAGGCCAATAACCAAAACCAAACCAAACACAAAAATGAAATAGCCCTATGTTAGTGAGAATATAACGCCAATTTATGCATAAAAAATATAGTTATATCCTTAACATTGCCCATCACCTAAGAAAAATTATATTAAGACTGCATGCAAGAACAATGCAGTGCCCCAAGCAATAGAATAGTTATGAAAGAGTTGAGAAACTACATCAAATATTACAATCTCTGTAAATATTCTTTTTTAAATGTTTATTTAATTTTTTATTCTAAGAATGTATATTTTTATATCCGATCTGAATAAGAGAAAAAGACACGAAAGAAATAACTTATACTTTATGAATCCCTTTAGAAAAGATATTATTTTATGAATACATGCAATAACAGAAAATTTGATTTGATTCTCATGCTGTAGTAAATTTGTAGTAAATTTTATAAAGGATGTCTTTGATTTCATTATATTTCTAGTCGTTTTAGTTTCAAATATTCTGTTTAAACTAGTAATTTGTTTATTGTTTTATAATATTAAAGCAACTAGACATATAAATAAAGACATCCTAAAAATAAAAATAAAGACATCCTAATTTATGAAATAAAACAAGATTGATGAAATTCATAGAAAGATGCGTGGCGAGAGGATGTCAGGCTGCAAGGAAAGCACAAATAATGACACTATTCACAAGTTGTATAGAAAAATTTTAAATACAAATCAAAAGCTCCGCTCACATTTTTGCCATATCAAATATGCAACATATATTTGGTTTTTAAGCTTTATCACGATAACATTAATATGAACGACGTTTCAACAAAAATGGTGTTACTCAAACAAAATTTTATATTTAAGAAATCGTGATAAATTAGGTATAACAGCATTTTTTAATTATCATACATTTTAATGAATAATAATTTTGTTCTTTCACACTACTTCACAATTAATAAATTGTAATGATCAATGAAATGACATATCTTACCTCCTCTTTAGCTTCCAATAAATCACGAACCAAAATAGTAATTCTAGGTAACAATATTGCTCTGCATTCTGCACTCAAAAAAAGAGGGCTATGAACAATATCATTCACTGTCATCATTTTTTGTTTAGTTAATCTTCCTACTGGTAAAGTAACTAATAAATTAGTCAAAATTGTGCTCAATTGCTTGCCACTATATACTCGCAGCAAATGAGGAATAGTAGTAGGTAAATATTTTAAACACGCTCCTTGAACTAACAAAGTACTATCTGTTTCATGTCTCATAAGCTCAACTATAGATCTTAATAATTCTGTTAATGTCTGAGAAAACTCTTCTTCATCTTCATTTAATCTAGTGTAAAATGAATACTTTAATATATGTAATAAATATTAAGATAATGTAAGAAAATTAGAACATACGCAGTAAATAAAAGACGGGATTCTACAACAAATCTCATACAATATTGAAGGCTCTTCATTGTTTTAAGTAATATATCACGTTCTTGCCCATCATTATTAGTTGCATTATCTATACGTTTACGTAATACTGCAATTAATTTTTTATATGCAAGCGTTGCAGAAAAACTCTCAGAAATATATAAATCCATTACTGGTTGAAAGTGTTGGTATTTTCTATCAGACACAAGACCAATAATATATAATAAACATTCAAATACCATATCATCATAAACATCACTATCCGAATTACTCATTAATATGTTAAACAAAGCATCTAGAACATCCTGAAAACAACAATTTTATATTTTTATAAAATAATACTTATACTTTCTTATCTATGTTGCACGACATAAAAAATTTACTAACTTGTAAGAATTTTACTACTTCTTCACCATCAACTTTCATTAAAGCAATCAGAGATTCTTTCAAATCTGTATTGTGTGATGCCCAGTTTAATAAACCTAATAAATCTACATTTTGTGTTAATTTTGTAGAACAAACATTAGTCGCTATCAAAAAACTGTCTTTACTGCTTAAAGTAAGTGCTCCTAATGTTGGTTTTTTTTCTATATTTAATTCAACCTAAAATCAAGTATATTTAAATTTTATAATATATTTATATGTAAAAATAGTTCAATTGTGATATCAGTTTTACCAATTCATCCCTTGTGGATGGTAATTTCAAGTATGAAATATCAATTTCTTCATATTTCTTTTGATCTAATTTATAAACTAGTAACTCATGCTGTATATCCTGCAATGTTGTTCCATTACGTTGCATCAATTTTACGTAACTTAAGGCAAAAGGTTTTTCAGATTTATCTTTTGCTTCGTTTGAGCTTCGATGTTTAAATGTAAATTTTAAATGAGCCTGTTTAAATTCTTCAATAGGTACAGCAATCTTAAATGTTTCACACCATCTAGGTTTATCTTCATGATAATAAATAACACTATGATACTCATCAATAGATGAAGCTCCACCACCTAATGTCATAACCCCTGGTATTGGCACACCAAATTCATTGCAGACTCTGACCTATCAAAAAATAAGTCAATAATATACTTAAAAGTATTAATTTAATAATATACTCAAAGAGTATAAATCAATAATACTGACTGTAACTTCAACATTTTTGTCTGTAGACTTTGATCCTTTGTTAAATTCACCACTAATTAATGTGAGGTACAAATCATTCCTCACATCACCTGGTAAAATAACTTCTGGAAATCCCATTTTTCTGGCAATAGCAACATTACCAAGTACTAAGTGTGGATTTTCATCACGTACCTAAATATCAAATTCTTTATAAATATTAAAATATATATTTCTTTTCTTTTCTTAATCTTTTCTTTTGTAATTTTTTGCTTACTTGTTTTGGATCTCCTCTAAGCAGTTTTAAACTAGCCCATAAACCTTGTCCACCGGTAAAGCTGCCACTGTTTCCATTACTACATTTTTGAATATTTGTTTCTTTTTGAGAAAGAATTCTACGTAATGTACCATCCAAACTTTCTTTCTCACAACAGCTGGAACAATGTAAAAGAACCAAACAAAACAGATCTATTTTAACTGTTCATAAGAGATTCCTTATGAAACAGTTCATATTTAAAATATAAATATAAATAAAATTTTACACTTACTGTACAAATGGAATAAAATGATGATGATCTGAATCACCTTCAAGTTTACCAGTAATATATAAAGTAATATCCATTGCTGCTACACCAAATGGTCTTCTCATATTTTCAGTATTTTTCACTTTTTGATTAGCTTGTGCTACGCTTGAACGTCGATGGTCAGTATCTTTAGCTTCCATACCTCCTACTCTAATTACATAACAAACTAAGTAAACTTTATCTCTTGTTAAATCTCGAGAACCAAGATCAGTAAATAAAACTCGAAGATTATGCAATTGATCTATGTCTCTGGCAAGTCCTTCTTTGCTCCATGACACTACATAATTTTCAGTAATAGCTTTCATTTCTTTACCATCGTATAACGTCAGTAATAATTCTACATCTTCTGCCATTTTACATACAAAATTCCTTACACTAACAAAAAAGATATGTGAATATACTGGTGCTTGCAGTTTTGGAAGCTTTTGTTTTGTATCATTAGCTGCCTTTCTTATTCTTTCTGCAGCTCTTTCATGATGATAATATAATTGAATTGTACTTGTTTCTTCAGGATTAAGAACATTTCCTTGATCATCACGCACAACCATATCCATACCTAATAATTGATTACCAGTATCAATTCTAGCTGTTGCTAATCTTTTCACATCCTTTAATTCATCTACTGTTAATGTGCCACTCAAAATTTTACTTCTATATCCTATTAACTCTAAAATTTGCTGTTGCATTGTTCTGAAGTGCACAGAGTGAATCTGTATATAATAAGAATCATATTAATTTCTTAATTTTATTAAGTATATATTTCACTATATTATACAAACCACATATAGATGCTTCCAATGATGTCCCCATTCTCTCAAAACATTGGTGATTTCATGTATTAAACAGTCCATACTCATCGATTGTTGTAAAATGTGTATATAGGATTTTGGAAAAATCCCACTTGTCCCTTTAGATTTATTACGTCCATAATACCAGTCTCCGCATTCTTCCAATATCTGTACCATTTCTCCAACAGTCAATCGCATTGTGTAAGGAGTTCCATGTACGAAATTATGTATGGCTATATCAATAATAAATGAATGATTGTATATATTGAATAGTTGTATATAAATTACATTATAATTATATTTCATTATTTTGATTAATCAAAATATAAAATTAAGATGATTTACATCAAAAATATAAGAAATGAGTAGAAGTAAATAACCAAATTAAAGAAAAATTTAATTGTTAGACCTCTTTATATTTATATGTTAAGAACAGTGTATATATTATGTATTTATTATGTAAATCATAATATCATGAACTAATTATAAATCATTTCGACTATAAATAATATAATTACATTAAATTTGTTTAAACACTTGTAATCAAAATAAATACTGTGAAATCATTATAAATTAATGTTTCGCGCGCAAAACAGAAACTAAAATTTTATCTGATTGGGGCACCTCCCAGGATGTTAGATCTTATAAAAGTTAAATTAGCAATTTATTTCTTACCAACTCCTAAATGTTCTTTAACTTGTTTCCATGCCATTGTCATACTAATTAACAACTTATTATAATAAGGTATATACACTAATTACATTTCGATTCGCACGTTCGTTGTGCGAACAAAATACAACTCTTTTATCTTGACATCTAACACAACTGCAACACGAAACAGGATGGCCAGTACTTAAATGTTATCACGGTGATGAGAATACGAAGCAAATACACCACGAAATATACCCTAGCTAATAGATATTCAAACGAAGCGTACATTTTCTCACATTAAAAGCCGCGAAAAGTGGAATTTTTTAAACTGATCTTATCATATTCGCGATAGTTTACAGTAAATTCGTATAATATTTGCAGTTATTTATTTTTGTATTTGTAAAATGTTCAATGCATAAGTAAAAATATATCAACAAATTAAAGTCGTATAAATATATATAATTATATTATTAATAAATTATATTATACTGAAGATTAATTTAAAGGCACGTGCTAATTGAAATTTAATTTAAATACGTAATATTCAAAGTTTGTTTTATTATAACAAAAAATGAAAGTTATGGTTTCTTTATTTTTAATTGAAATCTTAAGAATATTCTCTTGATTTTATAATTTATAATTATGTATATATCTATCGTATTTGTGGCGTAAATTATTTGTTGTATGCGTATAATTAAATATATGTATATGAATATAATATATATTAGATATAATATATGTTAAACGCCAACACTGGGTTCATAGCCATAGGGTCATTCAAAAGTTCCTCTGTCTACTTGTAACTTTCTCTCGTGAATTTAATGTTTAAATACATTTTATTTAATTGATAAATCACGCTTATAAAATTTAATTCGTTTACATAATTTTATAAATTTATTTATAATTAACTAGACAATATTAATAATAAAATGATGGGACTTCGTGAACCTGATAAATTGACAGAGAACACGTCGTCTAATAAGTAAGATAAAAATATTTTTAATAATTTTTTTTTTAAGTCAATTTAAAATTTATTTAAATGTTTCCTATGTATTTTTTATGTATTTTGTTTCTTTATAATATTATTATTGTTACACGACTATTGTGGTCACGTGTATCCAATTTCAAGCAATATATTTAATAATTTTTAATATTTAATTTAATATTTAAATATTATTGATTTTATATAGTTATGTATTTTTTCACATATACAAAATTATTATAATTTTGTTTTATAGCAAAGAATTTACATTATATGTAAGTGATTTACCTGAAGAATTAAATAAGGTATGTAAAAATAATCTTTTTATCATTATTAGCATATATATACATATAATTATTACCTTTTTACTGATTAAGACTTTTGTCATATTTTTATGAATTTTATTTAAAGATAATGTATACATAGAAATATATATGAATGCATATATATGTGTGTGTATGTGCGCATCTATATGTTTTAGCATGGTTTATTAGAAATTTTCAACCATTATGGAGAAATCAAAGGATATTTTTATCGTCCAAATACTAATTGGGCGTATATTACTTATGATACATATCATAAAGCGGAAAATGCTATAAAAGATTTACATGATGTATCGCCATTGCGTTTGAAAGTATCATTTGCTAAGGAAAAAACTACAAGTGTAAAAAATACAAAAATATCTGTTCCTAAAGATGTTATAGAACAATATGAAAATCATAATGAAATAAATCTTGCATTAGAAAATAAGCAATTGTAAGTATATACTTATAGTTACATAATTACATAAAATAAAATTTATAAATTTATATAGGATACAACCAAAAGGACGAGGCAAACCCTTAGATATATTTAAGAAGATTGAACCAAATCCAGGATTACCAAAATACTTCTATACAGCAGATAATGATTTGTTATATCCATATCCTTCTGAACCACATATATATAATCCATATGAAAATGCAGAACCTTATGCAAGTACAAATACATTGTGGACAAGGTATTGTCTGTCATATGAAATATCCCACATGTTTTATGACTTTTTAATATTTGTTGAAAATATTTTAGAGGGCAATTAACTATTACTCCAACTGGTAAAAGGCATGTTTCACTTGGTCGGGGTTATACGTTGTATGAAATCCCAGATCCTGATCCTGAAATTTCCAATCACATTAATAAAGTATATGAAAAACGTATTGCTGTAAGTAAGATAGTATGAAAGATTAAAGAAAAATATTTTTTGTAATAACAATTTAATAATGTATAATTTGATGTAACAGGGCTTATATGAATATGGGAAAGATATCTTACAAAATGCAATTGGTATATGCAAAGTTTGTTCAAAAAAGACAAAGTATACATGTGAAAGATGTAATACTTTTTATTGTAATAGAAGTTGTCAAGTGACGGATTGGCCTCAACATAAGATTGAATGTGAAGCTATTCCGTATGCATTTTCTCATAGTATTATATATTAATAGTTAAAAAATACTTAATAAGTTAAAAAGTCGAAAATATACTTCTTAATTTTTTAATTTTATTTTTAGAGCTTTAGTAACGAATATGCATTCTATGCCTGTATTACAATCAAATAATGAAGAGCAGATTCATATTAAAAACGTTTCTAATATTCAATTACCTCTACGACGACCAAAAAAATTAAATGCAATAACAAATTCAAATGAAATTTTGAATGTTGCTTTAGAAAACAAAGATACAAATAATATAATCGCAAATAATTGTAATTTAAATTGTAATTACACAAATAATAATGATTCAAAATGTTTAGATATTAAAACTAATAGTCAAGAAAACTTACATAAAAGCAAAATAGAAGGAACAATATCTTCTAAGGAAAGTAAGACATTACACAAACAGCCAATTGAAAAAGAAATTTCCAACAATATAGCTAAAAGTCTACAGGAAGTAGATAATGAAGAAAATGCTAAAAAATGGCAAAAGTTTAATATTAGTGATATTCAAATAATGGAAAATGATATATCATTTTCTAAAAAAACATTTTTATCAAAAACTAAATTTCAAGATGTAGTAATAATTATAAAAGAAAATCATGAATGTTGGATTCAAAAGGTAGAAGATCTGAATGCTATTGCAAAATTAATGACTGAGATACAGAATGAAGTACAAAAAGCACAAAAGGTGGAACCAATAGTTGGAAATATTTATGCTGTAGAATATGAAAATGTATGGCATAGAGCTATAGTTACTTGCTTAAATCCAATAAAAGTACATTATATAGATTATGGCAATGATGAATTTGTTGAAACAAATGATTTTCGTAAAATTGATAAATATGTGAAAATTCCAAGATTGTGTGCTAAAATTCGATTATCTCAAAAAGCATATGAAAAATATAAGAATCTCAAATATGAGGATATAATAAGTGTAAAAATGATATCAGTTGATCCTAACAATGTTATTAATGTTGAAGTTAAAAATGAAAATGATATATCAACATCAGAAGTAATTCAGACAGATAATAATTCAAAACTAAGTACTTCAACTATTATAAAAGTTGACAATAAAACTGTGATTTCTCCCGAAATATCTACCAATGATAGTGCATTAACTTCTTCTAATAAAATAAAAAATATAATAAATACTATAACTGCTGGAGACACTGGTATTTTAGAAATTCATGCAGAAATAAAGAACAATACTTACAGTATTACATTACTGCCTCATAATGCAGTACTTGATTATGAAAAATTATTGATCAATTTGCCTAAAGTGTGTGCACAGGCAGCAGAATGTTCAAATCATAGGTAAAAATGCATAATTTACTATAAATTATTATTTCGATAATAATTTGTAAAATTATTAATTTTTAGACCAAAAATAGGAGATTTAGTATGTGGTCAAAGAGTTGATGGAGATTGGCTTAGGGGATATATTTTATCTTTGCAACCATTTTTAAAAATGGCTATAATAGATGAAGCTAGAATAATGTCAATTAATAAAACTATTAGATGTGATAAAATTTTTTCAAATATTTATGCATTTGGTGCAATATTGGAAATAACTGATATAAAACATAAATTTAATGTAAGTTTTATAATGTTTAATATGTTGTGAAATATGTGTACAATATATATTACTTTTTAATTTTCAAAATATAATTTATAGGAAGGTGATCAATATGAATTTAAAGTAACACCGCAAACAATTAATTACGAACAAAGTACAGTTAAAATAGAAATTTCGAAAGAGCAATTTAAAACTAAAGCCATTGTAAAGCCGTGGACACCTATGCCTGAACAGAAAGGATTACAATATGCTGAATTGAAAAATGGATCTGAGGTACGATCTACGATTTTAATTTAAACAAAAAATGTTATTATTTCATTATTTACTTTTAATGTATATATAATGGCAAAATATTTTTTTTATGAAAATTTTTTTAGGTACTCCTTACTTCTTATCGAAGTCACACACTTTTATTTGTTCGTTCCTTAGATACTGCAGAGTTGGAACATTATAATTATGTTATGCAAAATATTGCAAAATGTGCTCAAACATGTATGTAAGATATTTGAAAATGTAGGATAATTCTCTTAGTAGAGGACGAACTAAAAAAGAAATATCGTCGGCATCATACATATTCGTATATGACAACTAAAAATAAATGAATTATATAAGTGTATCAGTCCGATCAGTGGACAATTTCTTTAAATCCTCTAACAAAAGAATTACTTTGTATAATTAAAATAAGTTTTGATAAAAGTTTATTAAATAGTTTATTATTAAAATAAAATATGAAATCTCTTTTTTTATAGCTCCATTTTTAAAAGAACCACCAGTCGTGGGGCAAATGGTAATAGCTCAATATGCTGATGAGAATTATTATCGTGCAATTGTTACTAAAATACAAGATAATAAAATTACAATTTCATACATTGATTTTGGTAACACAGAAGTTACAAATATAAAAAAACTCAAGATTTTATCTGATAATTTGAAACAGGTATGTTGTTATTTAATATATGTATAATAATATAATTCAAAAGTACTTACATTTAATATTCAAAAAGCTTCGATCTTGTACAACGAAAGTCATATTAAAAGATGTTTCTAAAGATGTACCTATGACAAAAGAAGCAAATGATTATCTAGCTTATTTAGTAGCAACTGAAGTTCCTCTATTATGTACATTTGATGGTATACCTTCCCAAGATGGTGTATATCTTAAACTTCATAATGAAAAAACTGTTAACAAAATAATAAGTGAATTACTCATGCCAACAACTAAAGAAACTTGTGAAGAAGGTAATTATTAAAAATTAGATGATAAATATTTTTAATGATTAAGGTTATTTAAATTAACATTCTTTTTTCTTGCAGATAAAACATGTTATATGATGGAACATTTAAGCATTGTTGATTTAGGAAAAGTTGGTGATGTTGTTGAAGGATTTGTGTTGTATTCTGTTGAAGATGGTTACAGATATGCAATATGTCCCTTAGATTATGATCTAATGACACATGTTTTTGATATAATGCCAAAAAAGGTAATTTTTATTACAATAAAATTTTGTTGATTTAGTATAAATGTATGTGTGTATTTATATATATGTATGTATTTATATATATGTATGTGTGTATTTATATATATGTATGTTTTTAATGTTTTTAATGTTTTTAATGTTTTAAAGATGACTACGTTTTG